TTCATCTGGGTCGTGCGTGCAATTGGCCTCGGAATCTACTGCTCTTGCCTCTAGTCTTCCTTCTATCCGTCCAAGCAGGGCCCTCATGTCTCCCAAGCACAGGTGGTCTTGGACAGTGTACTTCTCCAGATCAGTAACCCACTTCTGACCTCCTTTCGTGAGTGGAGGTAGCTTTGACACTAATGCTTCCATGTCCCTGTGAGTCCATGATTGGTATTGAAATCCTCCTCTTCCAGCCGCTATCAATGGCATGGAGGTATGTGCACCGGTCTTGGTTCTTTTAGTTGTCTTGGTTCTTCTAGTTTTGGGGCATGTCCCAGGGTAATGTTGCTCGTTTTCGTCACTACTATTATTCTCAGGAGGAGATGCAAAACTGCGTTGTTGCTGTGACTGTTCATGGTATGGGGAGTGTCTACTGGTTTCAGACTGTGTACCGCTGTCGTCATATTCATCTCCCCGTCCATTGGAATAGTCAGGAGAGTAGTTTGTTCTGCGTTTTCTTTGAGTTCTTCGTTCTTCTTGTTCTCTCCTTTGTCTATCTGCCATCATGTCCTGGAATCTTACATCGTCTTGTTGCCTCTCCGCCAGAAGTAGTTGGTATTTATCTTCCTCCCTTTGTCTTTCTGCAATAATGTCATTATGGGCTTCAACTGCCTTCCGTCTTTCTTCAATAATGTCATTATGGGCTTCATCTGCCTTTCGTCTCTCTTCCATTCCTCTGATGAGTTCTGCTTCAATGCTTCTGTTGAGCTCCTCGTCCATTCTTCTGTCGAGTTCCTCCATTCTTCTGTCGAGCTCTTCGTGTCTTCTGCCGAGTTCTGCTTCCATTCTTCTGCCGAGTTCTTCCATCAGCTGGTTGACACTGGATAGGATTCTTACCTCAAACGCCAATTCTTTCTCATTTGGGGCTTGAATCGAAGCTTGGTGAGAAGGGTTGTTCTCTGATATGTCTGGAGGAGACACTTCGGTCAGGCTTGGATACTGCTTTGGAGTTTGGATAAGTGGAGCCTCTTTTGTCATTTCTGCTGTGTCTTCATTTACTGGCAGATCTTCTGCGATGGATGTCAGATGGATTAACAGACATGTAACCCTAACTTTTCTTTTTTCAGCTTTTTTCATAGCGCTTTTAGCTGGTCCATACCAAGGGGTTTGTACGGCTTTGATCCATGCTTTTTCCTGTTGTAGGTATTCAGCATTCTCATGTTCAACTACAGCTTTTCTATGGGCTTCCGTTGGTCCAGGTTGATCATCTGCTGGAATCAATCCTCTCGTTTGCCACTGTTCCAACAGTTTCTCTATTTGGTTCCATGTCTTCTGTCTATGACTTGGACACGTTAAAGCATCTGATCTGATGTTTACTCTCGCCTTAATATCTGCAGTTGTGCCTGGCACTGTGAGTGCTCTTAACTCTGGCGACATGTTTCTTAAGTACACCGATAATATTATTAAGTTTATCAAAATGAATGACTAATCCTCTGAATAGTACCCTTGTATTCTTTATAAAGATATCCTATGTCATCTGAACTTAACTTTAAAATCTTGTAATTTTTTCAATTTTTTTACAGAATTTGGAAAAATAAATGTAAATGTTGTAAAACTGAGATTGGAAAATCAAAATTAGACAAATTAAATTAAAATTTTGAAATTATGCAATTTTTTTAAAATCTGAACAAATAAATAAAAATGAACAGTGTATGGTTTTGACTTTGTAAAAATAGGAATATGGTGCAAATCCAAATAAACCGTGGACAGTGTATACTCAAGTTGAGTTCATGAAATTATGCAAATGTCATAAAATGTGTTAACTACAATACTTCAATTCAAAGAAACCACATGTAATCTTTATCTGTGTGGTGAAGAATGTATTAACTGTAATACTTATTATGTCCGCTAGGGGAGCTGTTTTATTTGTAACTCCTCTCAAATGTATCAACTAGTACTTCCGGTTCATAAACATACTTCCTGTTTATTTCAAAATATAAAGTTCAAAGTACTTTCTTTGAAAAGCATGAAAAACAAAACAACTCAATCTACTCTCAACGTTCATCTACACCATCCCTGTGTATTTTATCAGTAGTTACCGGTTGTATCTTTACTCGAAGTATTTCACCATCTAGTAATGCTAACTGGCTAGCTTAGCAGTATAGCATTAACCGCATGTGACTGGGGGAAGGGGAACAATGGAAACACTCAACATCTGCATATAAATAACCACACTGATTGACAATACAAAACACAATCTTCATTTATCTTAGCTCTAAATTATATAGATGCTGACCCTAAAAGCCGATCTCATACCAATCTTGTACACAATCGTTTCGGCTTAGAAGATCACACAAAAATATACTTTTTGGCTTAAAAACTCCACACAATATACGTTATTAAACCAGACTACGCAGGTTTAACACATCGAACATATAGACTAACATGAATGGACCCAGTCCAGTGTAAAACAGATCAGGTCTGGTACCTACCCAGAGGTATTTAACACAATGTGAACCCTATCCCAGATAAAATTCTGCCTCACCAGAAGGTCTTAATATGTAATATTCACATTATCGGGCGGCGCCGAAGATACAACAGAGACGAATAGAAACACTATATACAATCTCCACACCACTCGCAATCACCACGGAATTAAACAGGTAACTGTCTCACCTTTCGTTTAGGCCCAGCCAAAAACTCATTTTCTGCAGGCTAGTGTGATGCTAGTTAGCTTGCAGCATTCCCCTCTCTTCCAGCTCTATCCCGCTTCAGAGCCCACCCAGGGACGCCATGTTAGTGTATTCTATAACCCCGAAGGCAGGAGAGACTGAAAAGAGTCAAGGGAAGCTTATAAAAGTTAACAGCATTTAATTACACAAAAGATGTGGTGGTGTACAGTACAAAATGAAATGTGCGAGTGGAGGCGTTCTCCTCATCCGCCCGGTCAGTCCAGGTCACCCGGTAGAAAGAGGTCAATCCTTGGCTTGCTCTTCCTGTTGTCATCGGAGGTCTTCTCCTATTGGTCGGGGGCGGGTCCAATGCAATTTCTGCCTTTTTCTGTTGTTAAATTATATCATTCTGGTGTCTGTGGTTATTTAAATATTCCCTAATAAACGTTATTCAGCGGTAATAAATGAGTGCTAAACCCAGTGTGCTCAGTGTACAACATCACATGTCATTTCACCTTTGATTCACGGTTTGAAAATGCAGCATTTCGCCACATGCTAACCGGAAATGAAGAATTTTCAGAATAAAAGTATTAAGTTAATAGTTAGTGAACTTCCGGTTTTTCAGAATAAAACTGATTTAAATTAAATAGTGTATTTAATTCAAATTACGCCATACCAACATTGATTTTAATTTCTAACAACCCGCAACAAATATCAGGTGACAGCTAAACTCATCCAGTTTAATTTTAATCCGAATTAGGGAAACTTCAGCGGGGGTAGGGAAATATCAGTACTTATTTTTACTTATTGTTTTTTATTTTTATTTTTATTTATTTTTTAAACAAAATCCAATTCAATAATCCGTAAGTTTATTAAACACAGTGTGAATGTAATATTCTGCCACCACCCTTCCCATTTAATAGCTCAATTTAGTTCTTGAGCTTATGGTGTGATTAACAGAAAATACAAGTCTGTGTTGTTAAACATTAATTCTGTTGATGAGCAATAAACTACCTTATTCTCAATCAAAACCACTATGCAAATGTAGTGGTAAAACTGCTCAACCGACCGAGAGCAGAGATATTAATTAATTTAATTAATTCTAAGAACGGAATCTGCTGAAGAGTAATAACCACATTATTCTCAATCAACAACCACTATGCTAATTTAGTGGTGCTCTGCCCTCCCCGATCCGGAGAGCAGAGACTTTTAATGAATTCAGTACCCTTTATTTTAACAACAGCCAAATTCAACAACCCCTCAGTTTATGAAACACAGCGTGACGTAATATTTAGTAACATCCTAATAAGAGTTATGTTTATTTCCAAAACTCATAATGGTGCGATTTAAGTAGAATACGACACTGTGCTTTGTTTCGTGTGCTGCTGCCCACAGGGGGGGGGGGAGGGGAATTACCCACACCCTCTTCCTGCAGCAGCAACAGGGTGATTTCGAGGCGAGTTGATTTAACTAGTTAAACCGTTGAAATCTCCAGAATTCGGCGATTCGTTTCAGTACAAATCTTTACATTGCTTTTAAACCGAAGTTCCACATTACTGATGCCCTCTTTAAGGTCTCTCCGAATATTTGCCGTGCACACACACAGAGGAAACCAAAAATATTGCATCTATCTGTTCCACAGGTAATTTTATACCGTCAATCACAGAGTCTGGCGAGGCAATGTCAAAATATAGATTTGAAATTACACTCACCAGCTCGACGATTTGTTGGTAACCGTTCGCGACGCCAATTGTGAAGTAAAAACTTCTTTGCAGCAATGTTGAGCGCATCATCAAATGAGGGAAACTGGATTCGCCTGTCAATACACTGATATTTATTGAGAGACAGACAATTACATACGGCCGGGAGATCATCCTAGTTTCACACTGTCCTTGTGCTCCACCAAGGTAATCTCTCAACCAAAAGACACAGATCAAAGGAAAATATTCTCTTACAATACGTTTTGTCTTTTTCACGAGCTTGCTGTGATATATACAAATCGGGTTGGTCCGGTCCAAGGTCTTTAAGGGTGCGTTCACACCTGCCTTGTATAGTCCGGTTGAATCGAACCCTGGTGCGTTTGGCCGCTTGGTGCGGTTCATTTGGGTCGGTGTGAACGCAGTCCGAGACCTCTTAAGTGAACTAAACAACCGGACTCTGGTCCGCTAAAATAGGTGGTCTCGGAAAGCTTTCTTGCGAACTCTGGATTGCTGGTGTGAACGCAATCCGCTGGTGTGAACGCAATCCGCACCAAAACATAGCGTAGTATTTGCGCGTCATTTCTTGTTGTGGAGGAGAGGATTGCAAATGGTGGGGAAATGAGCGGCAGGGGACAAACGTGGAGCTATGAGGAACACAGATGCCTTCTGGATATCTGGGCAGAGGAGAACATTTCTCAACTGCTGGAGAAGGTTCATAAAAACGCGGAGGTGTTCAAAAATCTTTAGCGACCGACTGAAGCAACTAGGATTTAACCGGAGTGTTGAACAGTGTCGTATAAAGGTGAAGAAACTACGACAACAATACATAAAAGTGCGCGACGCGCTGCAGAAGAGCGGCAGCTCCCCAAGTATCAAAGAGACATTTATTTGGTATGAGGATCTCGACAGTATCTTGAACACAAGACCCATAGTGAGCCCCGTAGATGTGGTCGAGTCCTATGCGGAGGAAGAGGTGGATAAGTCGCCTGATGAGGGGAGCCTGAGCTCCACTGCCGATGCCGGGGCTGCTAAGGCGGATACTAGCCGCAGTTACTCCGCGGATGCCGAGGACTCTGATAACAATGGTACGTTCACTGTAAACTTATTTATGCTGCCGGTGTACATGCCTTGTTATCTGTCCTTTTGACTTGGGGGATGAGCTATAAAACCACTGCAACCACTATAAACCACTATAAAAAACACACATTAATAAGCAAGCAACCTATAAAGCTGCTTATGAAATAATTACTAGAAAAGTGTGTGAAGTGTAATTATGAAATCCTATGAACATTACCTAGGCCTACATCAGCCATATGCCCAACTCCTCAACTAACGAATTAATTAACTAACGGTTATAACGTTTTTTACCGCACGTTGTCTCAGTATGTATTGATATGCGTCGCCCGCTACATTCTGTTGATATGCTCTCCATATAAACAGCAGCATGAAAACAATCTGCGGATGCTCCATGTTGGGCTCCGGTGGAAATTGCCGCGATTTTCCGTGTTTACATGTAGTTTTTACCCGCTTCATGTCTGACCAATGGTTGAACAGCATTTCCGTGCACATGACTTGTGTTTAAAGTTTATAGTGTAGTGCCGTGAAAAGAGAGTCGGAGGCGGTGTATTAAGAATGGAGTTCCAATCTTTATTATCCATTACTTTCAGAGAGGTTAACACATGCACTGCTCTGCCTGATGAGCTAGCAGGAATGGCAGCTAAAGCTACAGGTGTTCCCCACTAAAGGGTCCGTGTGGCAACACAATAAGCAAGGTGAATTATGTCCAATAACGTGTCACCACACAAGCCCCCCCAGAATTCACACATAAACAAAATCAGCATGGCGGGGAGGAACGACACGCCGACCCCCACGACTCCTGAGCACGGGAGTCGGAAAAGTGACTCCCGCCTGTGCGGCCCCTGGAAGGGGAGGGACCGGAACAACAGGTCTTAAATCCATGACAGGGGACGAGGCCGGGGGGCGGCCCCGTCGCGGAGGTCGAGCCAGCACCACAGGCTGGTCCAAGTCCAGGTGAGCAGTCTTCACCCGGTCCACCGAGACGTGCTCGGCCTTGCCACCCAGGTCGACCACCAGGTGCTTGTCCCCGTGCTCCAAGACCCGGAAAGGCCCATCATAAGGGGGCTGCAGGGGGCCTCTGTGCGCATCGTGCCGGATGAACACGTGCTCCGCCGAGCGGAGCTCTGCGGGAACCTGGGACACCTGAGTACCGTGCTGAGTAGTAGGGATCGGAGCAAAGGCCTCAGCGGCGTCACGCAGGAAAGCCCGCTGGGCCGACGCCGACCAGGGAGCCGATGCATTTGGGAGGAAATCCCCCGGAACTCTCAGCGGCTGACCGTAGACCATCTCCGCTGTAGAACACTGCAGATCTTCCTTAGGTGCGGTCCTCAGGCCCAGCATCACCCAGGGCAGCTTGTCGACCCAGTTACCGTCCGTAAGGCCGGCCTTGAGGGTACTTTAACATGTTACTGTGGGAGGTTGACCTGTGTGCTCCCTCCGGCCTCACAGCTCACTGCTCTGCCAGACGTAAGTGTTTGGGCTTTTCCTCACACCCAAATTCACGTAGTCTGTGGAGAGGAAACGCTTGTGGAGAAGCACCGATTCTCACCAAACATCAGGAACACAATGTGGGGATCAACACTGCTCTCTGGTTATTATTCAATCTTGGATCCTGTAGTCGTGTTTAGATGCATATATAATTGATCAGAATCTGTGGAAGGAATCTGGAATCGGTGCTTCTCCATACTTTATCCTTCTCTTTATCGACCAGCCTCCTTCCATGCTGTAGTCTGTGTCGCTGGCAGGTTGTAGTGGCTTTGTTTCTCTCAGGAAGCTTCATGAATCTGTGGAAAATTCAATTCAAGTTCAATTCTCCCAAAGTGTCCTTGGGAAAGACACTAAACTGGAAATTGTGAATGAGATCAGATGAAGAGCAGCTTGGTATGTGTAAATGTAGGCATGTAGTGCAAACAGGCGCTATAGATGCAAGTCCATTTACCAAAATTAGGGCAATATATTGATATAATATCGATATCGTGATATTGTAATATCTTTACATCGCATTTAATTCCCTGGTTTTAAAAGCTGCATTAGATTAAAGTAGAATTACATTTTCTTTTTTAATGTTTTGTTATTATTATCTATCAACCATTTAATTGTGTACATATTTGTTTTTGAAAGAACCAAAAGTCAACCCTACTATATGGCGGAATATCAATATTGAGATATTTTGTCCAAAAATATGATTTTCTTCATATTTCCCAGCCCTAACCAAAAGCTGTCGCTGTTTGCTGTTGTTCATGTAACCATAGAAACATCACCTTGTTGCAATGGTTACTAACTGCTCTGTCTGTAGGTTTCTGGATGGACATCGGTCAGCCTAAAGACTTCCTCACAGGGATGTGTATGTACCTTCAGTCGCTACGGCAACAAGCTCCTGAGAGGCTACGCACGGGTCCCGGTTTCCTTGGCAACGTTCTTGTGGTGAGTTCTGCTGATGGCCGCCACATGATGTCAAATAAACACGGTTATAATTAGTGGTGCAGGAATGAGTCCTAGAGATCGGAAATAAGTTTTGCTAAAATGCATGAAATATGGTCTGTGGTTAACTCAAGCTGAAGAGATGACAACCCTTTGTTCTACAACATAGGTATGTTATAAGCATGTTGTATGTTTCACTGTTGGAGGAGTCTTGGTCTTCAGATGTACATTGCATCACTAGGCTGTAGCTGTTGTGCTCATGACTTTTAAGACAGTGAATCTTTGACTCCAGGACCCCACAGCGCAGATCGGGGAGAACTGCACCATCGGGCCGAACGTCACCATCGGTGCGGGGGTGGTGGTGGAGGACGGCGTGAGGATAAAGCGCTGCACGGTGATGAAGGGGGCGCGGGTCCGATCTCACTCCTGGCTGGAGAGCTGCATCGTTGGGTGGAGCTCCTCTGTGGGCCAGTGGGTGAGTACAGGACAGAGACCATAGGGAATTATATTATTACAAGTTATAGAAAGTTTAAAAACCTTTTTTAAGGTAATTTCATCTTTAACTGTGTTCATTGTGCAGACATTAAGAAATCATAAAGAACAACACTTCAGAATCAGACACAGGTTTATTACCAGGTGGGTTGACACGTACGAGGAATTTGACTAGGTGCATACATAAAAGTAAAACAACAATTAAAACATAGATAGAGAACTAGAAAAATAATAAAATATAAATATAACAGTATTTACATTGCAATGTAAAGGAATAAAATATGGAATAAAACAAAAAAGTAATAAGAAAAGAAAACAGATATTGTTGTACTCTTGTGTGCATTAATGTAATGCACACAAGAGTCTATGATGTGGCTGATGTTATGTGTCAGTGGGGGGGGGCGGGCGGGCCTTATTGATGAGTCCGGTAGCGGAGGGGAAGAAACCATCGGGAACCGATGAGTCAAAAAGTATTCTTAGAAAGTACAAAAAAATGGCAATACAAATGTAGCTGTTTTTGAAGTTTAGTTAACAGTAGATTTCAGAAGTCACATTTAAAGAGGCCCTATTTTTGCCTTTGGGGGTTTTCCCTTTCCTGTTTCCTTCACAGGAAAGGGCTTTCTGAACATTAAAGCATGGAGACATCAAACATGTTACAGTAGAAGCAAGAAATATGAACCTGAAAATGAGCAAAATATGTCCTCTTTAATCATTGTTTTCCATTTAGTAATGTAAAAGTCTATTGATTTCTTACTGCAGTCACTGAAGCATGACTTTTATTATATATCTCAAATTGCTTAAAATCAGTGTGTAGTATAAAATGAAGACATATGAACACATTTTTTCCCTAAAATGTAAAAAAGGCAATACATTTTATAGTTATTTTTATGGTTAATAATAAGATATATTTTTGACATGGCCTAGGTGTACATTTGATTCTGGTAAACTTCGACATTCAACAGACTGCTATATCACAATATGATGTTTGAAAAAGAATGAATTACCAGCCTGCATTGTTACAGACTCTCACTGACAAATCGGCCATTCTCAACTGCTTTAATGAACATTTTATTTCTTCTGGTTCTTTGTTTGTGTCCCTACATTCGGACCCTGAACAGAACGTTGATTCCTCACCACCTCCATCCCATCCCGTGGCTCAGCCATTCAATTTCACTTTTATCGAGGCGATAGAGGTCCATAAAGCATTGCAGAATCTGGATTCACACAAATCGGCAGGTCCGGACAAACTTCCTCCTCATTTTCTTAAATTAGCTGCAGACTTTATAGCTGAGCCGCTTACTTATCTTTTTAATTTATCTCTTTCCAACGATGAGATTCCTAACATATGGACATCTGCATATGTTCTTCCTTTACTGAAAGGAGGGGATCCCTCATCTGTTAATAATTATAGGCCAATTTCAAAATTATGTGTTGTAGCGAAGGTCCTTGAAAGGCTTCTCAGTGAACAACTTAAATTATTCTTGGACACAAATGATATTTTGTCAGAGCACCAATCCGGTTTTAGAAAACAACACAGCACAACAACTGCTGCTATTAAAGTGGTGAACAACATCATTGAGGCATTGGACTGTAAAAAGTATTGTGCAGCTCTATTTATTGATTTGTCAAAGCGTTTGACACAGTTGATCATATCATCCTGGCGGAAAGACTTCACAGTATCGGCTTATCTAGGCATACTGTAGGTTGGTTTTTAAATTATTTATCAGCGAGAACCCAATGTGTCCAATTTTCTGGGTCCTCTTCTTCCTTCCTCCCGATAGCAAAGGGTGTGCCACAAGGTTCCATATTAGGACCGATTCTTTTTTACCATATATGTAAATAATCTATATAATAATTTAGCAAATGCTTCTTACCATTTTGATGCAGATGATACTGTTATTTATTGTTCCTCCGCTTCTATAGAGCAAAGTCTAGATTTCCTCCAGTCTGCCTTTGATGTCATACAAACCCATTTATATCAACTAAAGTTGGTATTAAATGAAGAAAAATCCAAAGTGATGATATTTTCGAATGGCAAAAAGTTACCATCTATTCTACCCAAGATTTGTGCTGCTCAAGGGACTGACATTGAGAGGGTCACTACTTACACATATCTGGGATTTCTTATTGAACAGAACTTGTCTTTCAAGTTACACACGGAAAATGTTGTTTCAAAGCTAAAACTAAAATTAGGTTTCTTTTACAGGAATAAATCCTGTTTCTCTTTTCAGACAAGGAAACATTTGATATCTGCAACGTTTTTACCTGTATTAGATTATGGTGATCTGCTATACATGAATGCCTCCGACCAGTGCCTAAAGAGCTTGGATACATTTGCACATATATGTGTCAAAGAGAAAGTCTATATGGCTGCACTCCCAAGATTTGATTCAGATGCTGGTTCCTACAGTGAGAACAAAACTGGGTAAAACAGCTTTTGAATATGCTGCCCCCACAGCTTGGAACAATGTACAGAAGGAGCTGAAACTCTCAGATGTAATCACTATTGGGGAATTCAGGTCCATCTTAAAGGACAGAGAACACGACACCATTGGTAGATGCGAGTGCTCGTTTATCCTAAAATCGATTTAAATGTTGCCAGTTTTTAATGATTTTTAATAGTTTGTTTTACTTCGCATATTGACTGGCTAATGTGCCATTTTATTTGTGTTTTACAGCTGTATTTGTCTGCCTGTCATGTCTGTGTTTTATCTGTAACTTCGTACATGCTGCCCCTCTTGGCCAGGTCGCTCTTGGAAAAGAGATTTTAATCTCAATGAGTCTTTTACCTGGTTAAATAAAGGATATATATATATATGTTTACTTAGTAAGAAGCCGTGTAATAAGCAGGATACTATGCAGCAAGTGGGTCATCATAGGAAAAGTAACTTTGCATGGAATAATGACCGCTTTGTATTTAGATATGAATATATATTTAAGCAACAGCTCACGACAGGCCGTGGTATATATGTATATTATATCACAGCTAAGGGCTGTGGTTCAGCCCAACTGTATACAGTTTTTCTCAGACGCGGAGGGATACTGACTTGTTGTGAAAAGTAACTACAATTCTACCCGTGATATACGCTCATTATATCACGGCTAAGAACCAATCAGATTGCTTGATTTGACTTGTCCGTTTTATAAATATATTTATAAAACGGACACGTCAAATAAAAAATGTATTAACAGAAATCATTCTCAATCTCTTCTCATTATGGATATGTAGATATTTGATATTGCTTGTGAAAATATTTCTCTTTATTTTTTAGTAATCTTTCTATTTTTGATCCTTCTCTTACAAATGATTTCCCTATACTGTGTTTAGGTTTGCAGCACTGTGCACACAAACAAGTTCATTGTTTCTGTGAACCTACATGGCAATAAACCTGATTCTGATGTTATCGGAGGTTAAATGACTTCTGGGTAATTCTGTGTCGTCAGGTTCGTATGGAGAACGTGACGGTGCTGGGGGAGGATGTGATCGTGAACGACGAGCTTTACCTGAACGGTGCCAACGTGCTGCCTCACAAATCCATCAACGAGTCGGTCCCAGAGCCGCGGATCATCATGTAGCGGCAGGAGGAAGGGAAGACCAGCGCCTCTCTTTTTATACGAACTCGACTGACACCCAAACTGTGCCAGAGAGAAGGACGAGGGTGGAGGAAAGAAGAAGAAAGAGGAGGCAAAGGAGAAGAAGGTGTTTTTTCCCCCCCGTTCTGTTTATAATTTGGACTATTTTTAGCCCTGCTTGGCTGCACCGTCCATCAATAAGAAACAATGGCGTACGCACGATCTTGGACGATAATGTCCTGAATGTTGCCGAGGTTAAAGGTCTTGCGTGAGCACTGCTATAGAGAGCGGGAAATTCACACCAAACGCAGAGCGACATTTCAGTGGTCTGTTTATTACAATGGTACGAACCCAAAATAAGATATATTTACTTATGGCTAAACTGCAATAAAAAGATCCAAAGGTTACTGAAGTAATTCGATCATGACGCCGAACAAATCCACTCATAATCTTGTCTCTGCATTATATTTGTAAGCAATCGAACCACAGGAAACATTAGCTCTGCGTTTGATGTGGACGCTCCATTAGAGTTATGGGGCTGATATGTTTCTGTCAGAAGGTGGAGGGACTACTGTGAAGTGTAATCGGGGGGGGAGGGGGTTAGTGAGCGATATGAACATTGCTGTTTTAGATTCACTCTGCATTAACATGTCCTGGGTGAACAGGCAATGAAGGATCACACTAAATGTGTCTCTGCTGTTGCAGCGACTGGAATCCTAACTGACATTGAGATTTCTAAATGCAGTATAAGTTATAGTTGATCAATTATTATAGTCTTTTTTTAAACTGGGTTATATGAGGTACCGATCCATAGTCAGTGTAACACCTACAGTACATGGCAGTAGCAGTTTGGAGAAACAAACACAACAGAGGAAAAAACAAGAGGCCTTCTTAAATAAAATCTATATCAGTTTTAAGTGAATGCTTAAAAATAATATTTTCAAAGCTTACATTTTCTGTCAGGGAACTGAAGCTGCAACCAGTCTCCAATCTGTACCTTGCAGGACATGGTAGCTGCAGGCCTGCTGCTGCTTCAATAGTTGAGTTTGTTGTTTTAAAATCAACCCTATCACATACCTACAGTACGTTGCATAATAACACAATGCTCTTGCTTTCTGTCAGCTAGGGTTGTAACGGCATAAGATTTTGAAAGTGTAATATAGTCAAATATTACAGTATCTTATTCAAATGAGTTTTCTTATTATTTACAGTGAGCCTTTAAAGAATAGGACCCGAATTACTGTATAAACCTGATACAAAAAAACATACCTCTGTTATGATGGATGAATTGTAAAGGCCTTTTTGCTGCATTCTGTTCATATACAGATGCTGTATGACTAACATGAATTAGTTCCTAATTTAACTAAAGCATGTAAGTGTACACTGTAGGAGCAAACACAATAGTGGTGGCTTAAAGCCCACCTCTGCTCCGCGCCGTCCTTTAGATGAGCCTGGTCAGATTTAATAAAAGAAGGAGTTTAAAACACCGGCATAAAAGTTATAACAATAATCTGATTTTAATACAGTAAAAAACACCAATATAAGTTTACAGAGTACTCTGGACTCCCAGTTCTACTGCTGTGCGATACAGGTATCGGGACCAGCCAGTCAGAAACAGGGGGCATTTTGCATGAAGAAACAACAGTATATATGGATATGTTTTGAGGTGTAGAATCACTTCTTATCTTCCACCGGACCCAACTCCTTTAATTTCCCCGGGAAGGTTTCACACAAGCTATTCTTTTAAAACAATCAAACATTGTACACAGATATATTGGTGCTTGGGATTATTCCCAGAAAGAACCTTGAAAAAGAACATGTGTGTGTGTTAGTGAGGGGAAGTGTATGTGTGTGTGTGTGTGTGTGTGTGTGTGTTAGTGAGGGGAAGTGTGTGTGTGTGTGTGTGTGTGTGTGTGTTAGTGAGGGGAAGTGTGTGTGTGTGTGTGTGTGTGTGTGTGTGTGTGTGTGTGTGTGTGTGTGTGCTGATAAGCGGAGGCGTATGTGTGTGTGTTGCTGATATCTGGGTTAAGGAGTTTATGTGTGTGTGCTGCATGGAGACAGGAGGTGTGTGTCAGGGTCTCTGGGTCATGGAGTGTAAGTAAGAAGGTTTATATATATATATATATATAGGATTACTTTAAACAGTCCCAAATAATACATGTTCACTTCAATACAGTTCAAGATAATACCTGTTTACTTTAATACAGTTTAGAACAATATCTGGGTGCTTTAACATGCAAGCACTATTTTAGCATGTTCAATTCATAAATGAAAATGACATCAGCTTAATAATGTCCTAATGTGAACACATTGTGTATGTGTGTACCTTTTACTCACACACCTAAACGTAATTTCTTTTCAACACTGTCTATAAACAAATGTACACAATTTGATAAGTTGGTCAACTTTAATACCAAGATACCTTTATATACCCTTACAACCCTAGTGTCATCCTTGTTGTAAAAACTAGATTTTAACATTCAACAAGGACAAATCCATGTATCCCTGATATTCAAATAACTGGTTAAAGGTTTCTGAAGATCATCGTCACAACAGGCGGCCATGTTTGTGTCTTAAAGTCTCTCATTTGATCCTGAACACTGTCAGATCTGATCCCTGAACAGATTGCAGTTCTTTCAAGTTGTCTTTCTGTTTTTCTGTAGTGATGAACAGTTTAGGACACTGACCATGTAAAGACTTGAGTCTGAATGAATGAAGTAAACTCTTGTAATGAAATATTTTTTAAAGGAAATAATATAATCTGCTGATCACATCTCGTGTCATCCCTACCTTTCATTTTGTGTTAGTTTGACTAGTTTGAATTAGTATTCATTCTTATGCAAACAGTTGTTGTCCGTTGCTTTTTTATTATTCTTTTTTTATGACAAAAAAATACCATGTCAAAATGCAAGAAAAACAATAGCAGCACTTTTAGAACCAATACTGATAATACAAATATGAAGAATATGTAGGTGGAATGATGTGTAACATAAAGAGGTTATTTTTAAAGAGTACATATGAACTCTGTCACAATATGAATACCTATATTATTTAAAAATAATTATAATGCTAATCAATGTAGTTAACTTTGTTAATTGTGAAGACACCATTAAGCAAAAAGTAAGTTGCATACTTAAAAATGTATATATGCTGACTAAAACACACACACACGTACACTACATAGACAAAAGTGTTGGGCCACCTACACGTTACACCTACAGGAGCTTTTATGACATCCCATTCCAAATTCTTAGGCATTAATATGAAGTTGTTCCCCCCTTTGCAGCTACAACAGCTTCCACTCTTCTGGGAAGGCTTTCTACAAGATTTTGGAGTGTGTCTGTGAATGCTTGCCCATTCATCAAGAAGAGCATTTGTGAGGTCAGACACTGATGTTGGACCAGAGGCTGGCTCTCTGTTCTAGTTCATCCCAAAGGTGTTCAATGGAGTTGAGGTCAAGGCTCTGTGCGGGCCAGTCAGGTTCTTCCACACCAAACTCATCCAACCAGGCCTTTATGCACCTTGCTTTGTGGGGCACAGTCAGTTTGGAACAGAAAAGGGCCTTCCCCAAGCTGTCCAAGATGACTTGGATTCTTGGCATTGTGTCTGGTGATGTAAGGCTTGATTCAGCTGCTCGGCCATGAAGCTCCCGGCGCACAGTTTGGTGCTGATATTAATGCCAGAGCTGGAACTCTGCAGAGCTTTGGCCACTTTTACGCACTATGCTCCTCAGCACAAAAAACGCAAAAATAAATATGCGAATAACATTTTTTTGATGAATGGCTGAATTTGCCTTACTTTGCCAATGTGAACTAACTTAGCACTCGAGAAGCAAGTGCACCTTCCTCTTGCTTTTTCATTAATACTTTTATGTTAATTCACCTGTAAAACATTAATGTGTTTATTTCTTATTGTTACCATGGTAACAATAAGTGCATTTGTTTTGAACTGCAATTTTTACACATCACATGGAACGTGATGACATCTTCAAAGCCAATTTGACTGTCAGATGGAATGCTATGACATCAAAGCGATATTGCTGTCAGAGGGAATGCTATAAGACAACTTGGGAAACTAATTTTCTGTCATTAGGCAAAGGTTAGCACAAGTGACTTTGAGTAGCAAGACATCATTACATTTTTCATTATTTACTTGTTCAAATATTACTCTCATTAGTAGAAAGTTACAGGTTTGCACAAGTTCTTCCTCAATCTATTCAGTTCAACACAAACCAGAGACAAGCAAACATGGCAAAGGCAAATAACAGTGATTTGAGAAGCCGTGTGGATGCATATATTAATAAACATTGGGAGATGGACACCTGTAGAGAACTTGATTCCACCAGGACCGACCTTTTGTCGTGTAAGACAAGAGAAAGAGCCAAACTGAAAAGCAAGTATGAGACCCTGGGTGCAGTCCTTGATCGGCTGCGTGGCGTAGATGCAGTAAAAGGGTCAAGCTCTGGGCACCGAGATGAAATTGCAAGTCTGAAATTGAAGCTGAATGCGGCTGTGGGCAGGGGGAAAGACACTGCTGGAAACCTTGAATTCCAAATCAAATTAAATAAGGACTTAAAGTGCCAGCTTCAGAACATGTGTGCAAAGCAGTCCAAGACTAAACTGGACGAAGAGAAAACAAACGAGGTCCTCCGCAGTCAGTTGAAGGAGATCCAGGTAAGGTCAGCCTCCAGATTGAGCCTTGAATCTGCCATCAACATGGATCTCCAAAACAAGCTGGAGGTGGCCAGTAAACGGCTGGAGATGGCCAGTAAACAGCTGCAGCCGCCTCCAAGTCACATGAGCACACAGGCTCCTGAGGATCTGTCAGAGTGGCAGCTGAAGAAATCCCCAGGATTGCTGGATCTTTCCAACATCCTGTCTAGTGATGAGCAGGAAGAGCCAGAAACAGAAGCTACAAGAACAAATATCTGTTTCACAGCTGAGGAGGAGGTACCGCTCCAAGGAGCGGAGAAGGGAAATGCACCCGCTGCAGAGACCTCAGGGAGCAGCCTTGGAGGTCTCCCAAGGTTTTCAGATAGTGTAGAAGACCTTGCTGAAGACAAGTTTATCGAGAAAGTAAAACAGAGAATGGTTCACATCAAGATCAGCCAGCTGCGGGAAATAACAGAGGAAGCAGTGAATCAGGTGTGGGAGACCGTAGACCCCCTGCTGAGGAGCCAGCGGGTGCAGATGGACCAGCTGGTGCGTGCTGTGAAGCTGGCCCAGAAGCAGCTGGTGGACCAGCGTGAAGAGGACTCTAAAGTTCTGCTGCGGACGGAGAAGGACTGGGAGTGGAGGTTTCAACAGATCCTGACCAGGAGGTCCCCCAGAAGGAGTTGGGTTGTCCGCATGTTTGGATGCGGAAGTGAGGAGGATTGGGGACCCCACTATGGGTAATGGCCCCCTGTTGAAGTCCCTTGCATTAATGCATCAATATTAGTTTTAATCAACAACAAAAAGAAAATAATAGTAAAGGTAATAATAACAACAATAGTAATGATGATATTAATAACAACAATAGTAATGATAATAATAACAATAGTAACAATACAAATAATAATAACAATAGTAATGATGATATTAATAACAACAATAGTAATGATAATAATAACAATAGTAACAATACAAATAATAATAACAATAGTAATGATGATAATCATTTGTATAAAAATACCAATAGTAATGATAGTGATAATAATATCAACTGTTTAAATAATGTAATACATATATTTATGTACATTTATTACATGGCTTAGTTGAATACTCGATTCTGATTGGTCAATTCAGAACACGTGACACGTTGTTAATCCAGAACAGACAGAGCGTTGTTAAGGACGCTCACATCTGCACAAAGAAGTCCGGTCGATTGAACTGTATACAGTTTGGCTGAAAAGCAAAGTGCATCAGGTGATCTGCCTGTCGGGTGTTCTTTTACCCACAATGACCACCCTCGCTGCACATTATCCCTTACATATACAATTTCAATCATTATTATATTTGTAAATCATTTTTTTAAGACATATATATTTTATAAATATTAAATAATGCATTTGTAATATAACATGTCAATACAATGTAAACCCAAAACAGAAGTCAGACCTGTTGTTTCATTTCTGTATAAACCTATAGAGGGCATTTTAGACAATATCTCACTTCAAAACTGCTGTTCTAAGTATCACTCTTTAAAGATCTTATTTATCATTTCTGATCAGGGTGTAAGGTACTTTTGTTTGGAACTTAAAGATTTGCAAGAGTTACATTTCGGTGGTACAAAAGTAACTTAGTACATTTACTCATGCATTATGGAAAGGAGAAGAAACATTTCCAAATTGGCCCCCGTCCAGTACAAACCTGTCCTGACAAATCATTTCAACTGTCCAGAAGTCAATGTAAACTGCCACTAAATGATTATCTCTTTACTGTTGTATTGCCATCCATAGCAGTTATTGACAAACAATTAAAATGTTTAGGAAATAAATTGTTTTTTTTAATTCAATATATCAATCAATCAAATCATATGTCCCAATGACACAAATCATAAATTGCCTCGGGGGGGCTTTCATACAGTTTGTCCTTAGACTGTTGCAGCTGACAAGAAATAACTCCCCATAAGAACCCTTACAATAAGTATAGGCTTTGAACAATCTTTAGTTTTATAATTATGGTGTAAATGCGCTTACACTTTTCTCTCACTTCTCACGAATCTGGAAACTTTAACGTTTAAAAAATAAAATAAACACAAATTCACAACATTGAACCCAACTGCCTCCCGTAATTCCAGCATGGGATTTTACCATGAATTGTCTGTGATAGCTGGTTTGTTGATGCTTTGAGTGTAATTTTTGGACTTCATGCCAATACATCTGAAATCATCAGAACAAGGCTGATAAGTTATAATAAAATAAACAAACTCTCTAATTTCTCTTAACAGTGTGTAATACATTTCTTCATAACACCACCACACATATTTTTGTTTCATCTCCACCCAAAAAACCAACCTGGTATCACGGCAAGACGTGAACATGTGACGATTTACCATGCTGGGAGACGTGAAGATGTCACGGTTTCGTCCCTTCAAACGTGACAGTTACACGGTATTGTTAACATGGCCCAACCAGTGGAGAAATACCCGGAAGTGCCAAGCAAATGCTCTACCGCGACTATTGGTCGGTTTTTATTGTCTAAATTTGATATTTTTAATAAAAAAATGTAATCGTCACACTCGATCTCGCCGATTTTCTTGTGGCCCCAGCTGGTCGACACCTCTTTTAGCAGAAACAAAGGCTACATTAATGTATTAAATCGATGTTAATCCATTTGCATTGTTGTGGAAATACCGGACGTGACGTTGTGTGATCGCTTAGCAACTGACCTCCGTGGAAATAAACACCACTAAGGTTCAAGGGTTTTTGTTATCAGATGCTAGCTACAGTGTAATTTTGGCATTTAAAATCTTAGATCCCGAGCTCCTCCAACAGTGCAACATAATATAAATAGGACATAATAAGAAAATTAGAAAAAGATAAATAAAAAATTGTGCAAAATACACCACTTTTGGTTCAAATTATGAAACCAGTAGATTCATTCATTTATTTATTTTTCAACCAAAAGCTGCTGCAATTGCTGAATCTCATCTTCTGGAAACAAACAAAAAAGAAAATGTTCAGCATCACAACAGCGTAATCATATTGCATCAGGTATTCGTTTGATTATGTTGACACATTTCCTAACTTTCAATGATAGTAAATGTCATCCTACCAACAAGCTGAGGGGGTACTGCAGAGGTTGCTCCCGCTGGTTCCACAGTCAATGGACTGTCAATGGCAACAGTTCTGACTGAAAAATAATAATTATAATAGATATATTGATAACAGATCATAATTACAGAGAACAGGAGGCAATCGCAGACAAATGTTATGCATTAAAAGAGTTCTAACAGTTCTAACCAACTCTAACTATTTATTACAATGGCCTATTTTTATACGTACGACGGAATAACAGATATTTGTTCAATACCTCTCTAAGCTGAAACATGCTGTACCAATCATGTTGCGAACAATCAAAACAAAAACGACATATGTTAATCATGAATACCTGTATACATGCACAAACCTTTAGTACGTCGGCAGGTTGCCCCACTTCTGCTCCTCCTTTTTAGAGGACACCCCTGAGCATCTTTGCCTACCCAGCGGATTCTGCTCCTGCTAGATGCTGCTCTGGCCCTGTCTTCTTCCTCCTTCAATAAAGTAGTCATGCATTATCACAACAAGCTGCTTTTCATTCCCAGTTTATTCCTATTCACTTTGAATTACAAGCACATAATCAATCAACCTAATCAGTACATCGGGCACAAAACCAATACCATTGAAATTAAACAATTTACCTTTAGTTGTTTACAAAGTAAATCGGCAAGGAAAATGGCGTCTTCTAGCTGTCCCTCGCCTTGTTTAGCAGCCATTTCAGGAACATCAATTAGTGTATGTGTGTGCTTATAAATACAAAAGAGAAAGTGGTAAAGAGACAGAGATGAAGATGGTAAGAATGGGGAGAAGACAGGAAGAAATGTAGGGAATATAGCTCTGAGTAGGGAGAAGAGAAGAACTAGAAAAAGTGCTGTTTGATCTTGCTTTGGTTTGGAATCTGTTGAAGGAAAAAATACAGTTAACACTTTTGAATGCATGACAATTTACAATCTCACATATCATCAACAAGCTTTAACATTGGGGTAAATTACGAGTTAAAGCACTAATCAATCAGGGGCGGACTGGAACAAGGACAGCTCTGAACGTTTTGTCCTAAATAGGACCACAATAATCAGCGTGCAGTAACAGTCTGTAGATGGTTGTCATGACATTTCTTCACAATACTATTAGTTGCCACTGTATGCAAGTATGACAGCCACAATAGGCCTTTTTCCAAGCTTTGTATATACAGTGCCAAAAGTATTTAACTCAACATTTTCTTACATGAACTTTTTTTCCAACACAACATTTACATTGTTAGCAGTTATGTTTTGGTGTACTTCTAAAGGTAATTAGTTATTTGCTCGCTGTCAATTTATTGCCATTTATTTCAGATATATTTATTTATTTCAATTTAACAGCTAACTTGAATTTAACTTCTGTTAGACAGCTATCATACTGAATACATATTTACTGTAAATGTATGCAAAAATGTATGGCTTCTAACTTCTAACAGAAGTTAAATCCATTTCTCACTTATTCTGACAATGTACTTAACCCCAAATAAAATAACCCAATAAAAAGAGTTGTTAAATAGTAAAGTCACGTTGTAATAACAATAACTCATCTCTCTCGAGTTTTCTTTTTGAGCTTTGCCAAAAGCCACTGTGTCAAATGTCCTACTTGGGTTGCCGTCCGGAGTTGTCCATCTCGCACATGCGCACTGCAGATCGGGCAGAGCAGCAGATCGGGTAGGGACAATAGCATAACGTTAGCATTTTGCTTCTGGCCATTAGATTTATGATTCGAAAATTATAAAAGTAGGGTAGATATGTGGAGATTATCCGGCTGAACAAAACGTGCCTTTATCTAACAGGTTCGTTTTCCACAGATCTTATTACGAGCTATTTTCCAAAATCCTATGGAGAAATCCCATTGACTCTGATACGAGGGAACCAATAGTTGTAAAATGCTAACTCACTTCCGAGTTGTAGGACTCATCACTGCACTATATCCCCGGTCAAGTAAAGCTAATATGTGTTTAGCTAGCTCGTGCTTTAAAAAAATATGTGACTACAACTGATTTACTTGCAATAAACATTAAAATATTAGAGGCATGCGGTGCAGCACCTTACCTGCTTGGCGAAGTCAGACAGAGAGGTAGTTGTTAGTGATGTGTCGGTCGCGAACGAGCCGGCTCAAAGAGCCGGCTCTTTTAAGTGAACGACGGGAGCCGGCTCTCGCCCGCGAACGAGCCGTTTTTTGTTTTGTTTTTGCGGAGGGATCTAAATCGGCATGAAGGCACATTATGCAATGTGCACATTATCCCGCTTATTACACATGGCCACATTCTCAACAAAGTAACAACATGACTCCCAATATTAATTTAAATGCTTTTATGGATTTAGATAATGATTTTATTGATTTAAAAAATAGTTTTATGTATTGATTTAAATTGACATGCATCCGCTAAGAAAAGTAGTCCGTTGTTACTGTTTGTACTAACGTAACAACGGCAGGAACTGCTTCGATCGTGTTTTTGAGGAGCTTTTTGATTACATATTTGAAAAACATCGTTGCTTGCTTTAAAAGTAGCACAATTCATTGTGTCAAACCTTGGAAAGTATCTAGATATCCCTGCCCTAATGCCAAAGTAACTGGCAACTGAATATGTGTCGCCGTCTGATGTCTATGTCTGGACCGCTGCGTAAAAAGGAGGGTTTCTGCCCCATTACTTCTCTTCTTACTTCTATAAGAATAAAACACGGAGGACGGAGATCTCTTTTTCTCCCCCTCTTCTCCCTGCTGCAGCCTAGCAGCTGATCTCAAAGCACGCTCCCTTCTCCTGCAGGGGGGCGTGGTCAGCTGCAGCTCACAGAATCAGCCCCTGAAAAAACAGCGCTGGAAAGAGCAAATAGAGCGAAATGAGGCATGGCTAAAATGCAGGATCTTTTTGGTATTTTGAAAAAAAAACTATATTTATATACTTTATATAGGTCGATACAGCCCCTTTTTTTAAATAGTTGTTATAGGTGTTGCTATCTGTTTTGTGTATGTCAATGCATTCATTGGGTGGTATCAGAGAGTTACACGAGTCTGTAAATGCAATGAAAACAATTGGCCACAGCAAATCATTTATATTAAACATGTAATTTTTACTTTTGAATACTTCAGTACAAAGGATGTATTGAATAATTTAAGTGATATATGTGTACACACAGTGGCGGCTGGTGGAAAATATTTTTGGTGGGGCTGTTGATATAGTGAGTAAAACAATTTTTTTGGGGAGAAATGACCCCTTAAATTAGGACTTCTGGTGATGTAATGGCGCGTTTCCAGTGCAGCGCGGAGCTCGCTTTAATGCTGCATTCAGACCGGACGCGATGCGAATATTCGCTTCGCTCTAAACGCTCCTATCACATCGCTCTAGTCGCTCGAGTTTCACCGCGGCTGCCAGCTGTGTTCACTCGCATCATTCAAACAAGACGCGCTGGCTCGGGAGCTACAACTACAACAAAATGAATATATTTTACCGTGATTAAATTGTAATACACGTTTCTAAATAATGCCGACGTAACAACATACTGATCCCGGTTAGTAAAAACCATGAATTAATGCTTTGACAAGTCTGCAGACAGACGGCAGGCGAAAAACCTTTTAGAATGCTTGTTTTCTGAATGGAGCTTGGCTAAGCTAACGTTATATATGCTCCGACCGTCCACACTCACAACAACGGCCTATACAGACATAAATAAACCAGCGACTGTATTCTCCATGACACAGACAGTCTGTGGTTTGTACTTTTTTTACTTTTGTCTAGTTTCTGAACAGATCGTATTTGTCCCCGGCTGTTTGAAGAGCAAGCATGGGAAACAAAAGATAGCATTTACCTGTTTGCATCCAGCTAGCCATGCCTTTGGTGTACCAGCTACGTGAGAAGCCTGCCTCGTTGATACGTGTGAAGTAAAAACTTCTTTGCAGCAATGTTGAGCGCATCATCAATTGAGGGAAACTGGATTCGCCTGTCAATACACTGATATTTATTGAGAGACAGACAATTACATACGGCCGGGAGATCATCCTAGTTTCACACTGTCCTTGTGCTCCACCAAGGTAATCTCTCAACCAAAAGACACAAAACATCTAACCAACACGAGGAGAGGCGGGCTCCCAGAAAGCCCGCGTATAATCAATAGCCGATGCGAGACAATGGTCTGCTTGTCTCAAAGAGATGCTGCCAGGTCAACCCCCCACGGACATAGGAGAAGCGTTTGACCTGTGACCTCAACCTACAGAGGAGTCTCTGACTGACTACAAGCAGATGTTTGCAGTATCACAGATTCTATAAAACAATAAGAAACTCTATAAACAGATCAAAGGAAAATATTCTCTTACAGATTCACTCTTTTTATCAATCTATTGATAACCAATTAACATTAGTCTAAGAATATTTCAGTCAATACTTAAAATCAATAAGCGTCTTCAGAGTTGGGTGGGCTCAGATACATTCATTACATTAAAAATAGAACAAGATTGAAAACATTTCAATCACCATGATTGAACACAGTCAATCATAATAAAAATCATCTCTCTTCAGTGCTTGGTATCTTTTGTCAAAAAGCACAATAATAAACACGTGAAATACAACAATATTATAGCAAAATATATGTTTCAAGAATAAGATATTTTATCATTTATCACTCAGTTAATCTCCTTCATCAAACACAAATTTTAAATCAGCTTACATCTCAAAGATTTACTTCAAGGCAATTACTTATTAAAAACACAATTAGAATTTAGGATTATAAGAAATCCAATTGAGGTATTAAATCAGAATCATGAGAGATCCAGCTAAGGTTCCTAGTTAAGGTATAAATTCACAGTGATGAATCGATCAATCTGTAATCTGTAAAGTTACAGTGTCCTCAATCTTTAACATTACTTTACGTTTACTTCATTACGCTTTATTCAAGAGTAAGGCATGATATTTAATTAATTACATTACTTCAACTATCAATCATTATGTCATTTCAAAATCTGAAGGGAAAACTAAACAATTCTCAAAATGTTTAACAATCTGAAAAGGAAGAATCAGACATTTTATTGAATAACAACCTGAAAAGGAAAAAATCAAAACATCAGTTCTTTATTCAGAGCATCAACTGTAATCAATTTCAATCGCTGAATTGGGAGCCTTGTAATCTGGTTTCCTCGTTGTACATTTACCTGGTAATGATTAAGGATAGTAACATTGTCTGTTATAATATTAGAAATATCTTATTGTTCAATACCCTATAAATCTGAAAATATCAATTAATTAATTAGTTTAGTGTGAAAGTGTAATCTGATTAAATATATTTATCACCACTATTTAACACATATCTGTTCATTGGGAATACAAAAACAATCATTAATTGTACATCTGTAATCATCTGGTCATTCAATTCAAATGTTATCTTTGTACGAGAGCTAGAAGACATGTTTTCCTCCTCTCTTTATGACACAGAATGTCTGGTGTGTAAAGGCATCCTGATACTGTAGATTAGCACTGAGGTGCTGATTGGCTCAAAACTCTTCTTCATCAGAGCGCCATAACTCAATTATCTGTAGATTAGCACTGAGGTGCTGATTGGCTCAAACTCTTCTTCATCAGAGCGCCATATCTCAATCCCCCCCAATTGCTCTGCTTTTGTGGCTCAATTCAGTGAGCACTTTATGATCTCCCAGTGAAACAGAGGCTCATCTGCCTGTATTCTTTCTGCTATCTGCTTGAGAGCAGTGCACCTGCCTATTCCAAATGGCACATCCAGATGCCCCCCCCCGTGATGGGAGAGGTTATGAAAACATCTGCTCCTCCAAGAAACATGAAAACCTTGTATGACGACCTCTGAAGCCATCGCTCGTCCTGCGAGCGAAAATGAAGAAGCATCCCATCTCATCAGAAAGTTGAAGATTAGAATCCTCTCATCTCGAACGACCTCCTTGCCCGTGGATAAGTTGCTCTCTGCAGCCGCAGAGTGTGATCCTCTCTCTCTGACCCTTGGCCTTCAGAGCTGTCCTAGTTATTGGGTTAACACTTGATAGGGATGTTTTCCTGAGTGCAGACAACTCAAGGTAATGGATTAGCACATTATCATTCAATTACAAAAATAGGATAGGCCCCCTCAGAATGATTTGGGAGCCTTCCTGAGACATGCACATTATAAATGTAAGGTTTGTGTTAGTCATTTAACATGCAAGAATCATATACTCATCAGTCCAAAGCAGATAAATGTTATTTTAAGTTAAATGTGAGCTAGTCCCTGTGGAATAACCCTTTCTCAATGATTATAAATGTTATATTAATTCACCATTTACCGTTTGATCAAGGATTAGTTTATCAGAAGTACATTTCCTCTTCCATAAAACATAGGTTTGAGAAATGAATGTTCCAATATGAAATAAATTGCTCAATTTCTCAATATAATTTGACTCTTCCCTCCCTTTTCTTACATATTGTCACATATGAAATAATAACTTAGGAGTCTATTTAAGCATGGTATTGTCTATATAAGCTATTAATCGAGAAAACTCAGAGTCAGTATGCAACTCGCAAATATCTCTCCTCCTTCCCATCCCTCTTTACTCACTTTCCCATCTCTTTCTCTCTTATTTCTGTTAGATATGAAGGAAAAAACATACAAGTCCATGTGAGCATCTGAGTTACCACCGTTACCAAACGGTGTGCGTGAGGCAAGTCCGGGTGTGCCGTGGGATTTTGTGACAACCATACATTATTTTTTCAATATACAACTACACAAAAATAATCATTTATTTTTTTAATTTACTATATCAGTACTTTGTAGGTTTATGTACGTAATCTGCGCGACTTGCGCGTCCACATCTCCACGTGCAGTGCTGCATAAACATGGCTGAGTCAGCGATAACTATCGAGGGGTGGAGGTATGCCCATTATTTTTATATCACGCAGTCTATTCTTCTTCTCTGTCTTCCGGTTGTTGCCTGTATTAAATGACAAATACACACTACCGCCATGGATTTGATATGAACGAGGCAGCAGTTAGCAGCTAGCGGCTAGCTAGTAATGATCTAGTGATATCGGTAATATTAACTCCATTTAATACAACATTTACGGTACAAGATTCAATCATACAGCCCATGTAGTATGACAATGAATTACAGCAAACATGTGCAATATATCCATTAT